AGTACATTCAAATGCTAAATACAGCCTACACTGAGGAAAGTGAGAAAAATGTCATTGTTGTACTTGGGATACACTTGCATAACTGTTCAGGCTATTAGGCCTAATTAACAGGGAGCTAAGAGATCCTTGCTATGGGGGTGTTTATATGCAGAATATGATAAATGTCAAATTTGATACATTGAAGTTAGAATTTAGTCACATTTAGGTTAGTGTAGTTCACAGAGAATACACATTTCTGCTCTGAAAAGGAACAATGAGCTTAAGTACATGCCAATTCTGAGTGCTAATCTCAATGGTGAAAAAGGAATTGTGCATTATTCATGGAAAAAATAAAATTATTATCATGTATGTTTGGATAAAATAACTGAAATATTTTAATGAAGCTAGACTGCCTTAAAATTCCTGGGACTGTTCTTTTCCTTTTGCAGGTAATTAGTGTAGTGTAATACTCCAGACTGCTTCAGTATGAAAGAACAGGCTTTATTTGAACTTTTGTATATTACTCTGGACCTAAATAACTTGTCAGGTAAACCTAATGCAGCTGTTGGTGTGAATAATTCAAATAATTCATTTTAGCCACAGTATGACGGAGCTGACTTCACAGTGGTGAACTACATAAATACTGCCAGAAAAGACACATTAGCTATTAGCGACTGAAACTTCCAGTCCTTGAGAATAACAACTTGCTAAGTTCTTTCTTGATCAACCTGACTAACAAACCATCTCACCAAACCTTTTTTTTCCTGAGACTGAATAGTTTTTGGAACCTTAATAACTACTAGCTATGTTTCAAAATGCAACTTAAATTAGAGCAATGAATTACTATGGACTGTAAAGAAAAAAGCTCCCTCGTTCTGAAAATCAAGTGTACAGACTTGCTTCTTCTGATTTCAGTTCCATCAGTGCAACTAAATAACCTACAGTAATGTATGACTTCTGTGCAACCTGCCAAATTTGGGCACTCCTATGTGGTAAATTATCTCACTGTAACATTCGTCAAGCTACATATCCTTAAATATATATACATATATCCTTTCAGGTCACTAGAGAGGTTTAAGATACAGTTCTGCTGCAGCCATGGGCTTCTGGAAAGAAATGCAACTGTCTCCTTGCTAATGGCACTGCACTGGGTATGGCAGTAGCTCAGAGCTGCTCAACAGTGCAATGCTGCAGTATCACAGCTGGCCAGTGCTATGGCATGAGTTGTCTTAGACACGAGCAAATTATTATTTCAAATTACACAGAAGAGAGTCGATGTGAAATGTCCTCTTAGAAATCAACAAAAATATTTCAGCTGAATCCTTAGGAGAAACACCGTCCCCTGCAGACAAGAACAAGACTATGAATACTGTCTCATCTTATGCCTTAAGGATTTGATACTCAAGAAATACATGACAAAATGGTCAATAAACAACAATGCCCTGCTTTCTTGGTGCTCAGCAGTTTGAATGATTTTTCTGACCTTTAAGAGCATTTTAAACAAAGTAACCAAGGAGAGAGAATTTCACTTAGTTTCTTATAGTCATCCCCATTTCCAAAACTATTAATTGGTTTCGGTAAGTGGTCAAGATGGGTCACTGCAGAAATCTCTCCCGCACATTTGTTCCCTGCTACAAGCCCTTTCACTCCCACATAATTCTGTTTGAAGCACAACATCTCTTGTTTTCTAGGAGTTTTTGGTCACCCTTTCCAACACTCCTCATCCAATGGGTGGGTGGTGGATATGCCCCCCCAAGCATTAGCCATGTAAAAGCTAAGAGTTCTCTCTAAATACAGATTTTGGGTTTGTCTATAGCAAAAGGAGGGAGAAAGGTAGCACCATAGACTGACTCATCCCACCTGGAAAGAGGTATCTAAGATATGTGGGATGAAGTGCTGTAGGGACATTTATGTTACTGCTTTAAAAGTGATCAGTTTATGTAAGTAGTTTGAAGAACATGACTAAGCTTTGGATGACTAGCGAAGGAAACTCACTCTTTCTTGACCACTGCACAGTAGTGACAAGGTAGCAGACTGAAACTGTATCTGCCTGAGAACTGACAACTTTTACCCCCAGGCCTGAAGTGACATTGCTTAAAGGAAGAACAAGTCGAGCTCCCGCCTCTGTGTAGCACAATTACGGGCTTAAACCTTAACTTTTAAGGGATCATAAAAAACAAAGCTTAAGTGTTCCCATGCATGAACCACCCAGCACAAGAGTGACACTTAGATCTGGCACTGGCAGTCAGAGAAACACAGCCAGGTTTAGGCCCCAAGTTCTCCTGGCAAGAGCAATTTTAAATCTCTCTTCCAACACATGGGCACAAGTCTGTACTCTGACACATTCCAGCTGCACAGCCGAAAAGTGCATGCATCAGAAGTCTGCATAAAGGTGAATTGCAGCTATGGCTAAAACCAAAGAAGTAATAATTTAAAAAATTACTGCTTAAATAGAGTACAAATTCAGTTGCTTCATGACCAAGAATCCAGACACTAATGTGTTCCAAACAAATTTTTTTGTCTGGCATCTGGATCCTAATGGCAGCTGACTTTCTTTTCTGCTCTAAATCACCCCAATTCCCTTGTTAAGCTAGAGAACACATTAAGCTTCTCTGAATATCAAGATTCCAGTTTGCCATGCCCTAGCGAAGCAGTAGGGCATAAAATACAGCATTTGTGTCCCACCAGGGCCTGTTAAATTTGTACAACCAGCACAGCTGAACACTGCTTTCTTTCGTGCCCTCAATTAAATCCCTCCTTCCCTCATGCTGAAGGCATGCTGGTATAGGGAAAACGGTGGAAAACGCTGTGACATGCATCCTGTCGGATGCTACTTTTTGGACGGAAGACAATCATCCTGGTGGCACTCTGAAAGTGCCGACCGAAGCGACACGGGGAGGCGGAGAGTTTGGGAGGAGACGGGGGGACGGACCGGACGGGACTGGAAGATTGTGAAGGGGGCGGGTGTGTGTGTGCGGGTGTGTGCGTGTGTATGTGTATCCGAAGCGAACCAAAAACGCTACCCAGCCGAGGAGAGGGGAGGAGCCGGTGTAGGGGCTTGGCTCTTCCCTGCGCCGAGCCTGGCATAGCGGCGGCGGTTTGCCAAGTGACGACTGGCTCCATCGGTCGCTCGGCCTCGGGGACAGCGCGGCTGCGGGACCTTGCACCCCCGCCGCCGG